CTCGCACATATATATATATATATATATATATATATATATATATATGTATATATATATATATATTGTATCATACATAAGAAACGCAAAATCGAATTTGGAATTTGCATGCTGATGAAAACCTCCGTGGCTTAATGCAAAAACTAATCTCGCTAACATGATACTAATATCTAGAATAAATAATTCATAAATTGTATGTAATATATCTATGGCAATCACAGTAATAGTACGATAAACAACGACATACAAAGTATCAGCAAGCATATACGTCGAAACTACAAAGTGCATAGATGATGTTTGCTTCTCTAGTTGTACTTGTGCGATTTCCCATCTGCGCAAGCACTATATATGTGTACGAAGGCATAAGTTTACACAAAAGGAGTGCTAGCGCATCAGAATATTTGTACGTAATTAGTAGGCTAGGAGGAAACGGAGACGAGCACGAAAAGACACTGGCGCAAAGACGAATAATTAGTTGAATCAAATACTACGTCAATTAGCTCGCGATGTTAGTTAGAGGAATAATACTGACGTTAATAGCACCGATAATGTAACTTGCAGTACATTGAAGTTTTTTTACTTTATTTAAATAATTTATGAATTAACATTTTCTTACTTCATACAATAGAATTCAATATTTCTAGATAAGCTATTCACAAATTTTAGTTTTTTCTTATTCAATCGATTTTTCATTATTCGTAGGGAAAAATGCGATCAAGGAGTTTTATTGAAATTTCATAAAAATCCAATTGCATCACAAATCACGAGGAAACTAAAAAAATATTCCGTAATTAAACGAATCTCTTTGTTGAGGCAAAGTGGTATTGATCGAGACATTCTAGAACTTAAAATTGTCGTTTAGGAAACGAAAATAGAAAATAAAGATAACATGGCGTGCATCAATTTTTGAAGCAAAAATAGTTCGACGTTAATGTGTAATGGCCGCGCAATACAAATGCAAATTTGTTGTCCACCTCAGAGATATCGATTTCCTTCATTCTTCGACAATATCATTGCGTTCGACTTAGTAACACTGCAAGCGAGTGACGTCACGTCCAGTCGTTTACTTTAGTTATTACTGAAACAGATTGCTACTTCATGAGTCGGCGGATATTTAAAAAAGGAAGAAACTAATGGTCGGAGATATCGAGCAGCTTATTGAATTATCGATAAGATATATATATTTATATCTTTTTTTAATGCTCTTAACTACTTCGATGGATTTTTCGAGATAGTCTTCGATATTATCGGTATATTTGCCATTCGAGTTCATTTTCGATCATTGTTTTTTTCTTGTTTTACACGAATTCCACAAAATTAAATAATTTTAAAACAATCTAAATATATAGATATTACAATAAATAAAATCTATTTATATATATATTTTTACTAGAACTTTATAAATATTTTTTTATAATATAATTTAAATAATATATAAAATATTATATAACATTAATTTTAATAGCAGTATATTTTTATATAATAAAAATGTTGCATGGAGAATATTTTACTAAATTTAAAAATTATCATTGAGTATAGTTTTTGCTTTTATTTTATACAGTTGTTTTTCCTCATCTGCTGAATCAGTTCAATGCACCGTCCATTTCAAACTTCCTTTAAATTTTACGCTTTTGTGTGTATCTATGGAAAACATTCTACTACGGAACTCTATGGACATTTTTTTTTGCACCGAACGATTTAATGATGTGTTACGTTGTATCCGGAATTCTCGGAAATTAATATTTCGTAACCCATGTCTGCTCCTGTGTTTATAGACAGAGAACTAGGCGATTGGTCGTCGGCCGCGAAATACATAAAATCCCGAGGGTCGCGTGATATAGCATTCGCAATTTTCGCTGATGGTGTATACAGAGCAGGCGAAATACGTGTATTTGCACATGAAGATGTTATCGTGGCGAGAACACGCTTGTCCTATGAATTTTAATGTAAATTACAGCTGATGAATATTTTTCATTTATCGAATATGGAAAATAGGATGCCAGCAATTGGGACGGCTTTCGTGATTATGAGAAAGTTTTATTATGGTTATTACTTTGCATAGATAATTCGAAAATTGTATTATTTTTGATATTAGAATCGAGCAATTCATTCAATCTTACTCGGATATCCAGGTGTTTCCTATCACAATTTGTTGCATAACTGTGACCTCCCGCAACACTATACCGACGACTTCCTACACCACCATCGTCAGCAACAGGATCGATAATGGAGCAGTTCCCAACAGGAGAATGGCATAGAAAATTAATCTGTTCTGGCGAAGTTCGCTCCCATCTTGCCTGGACCTGACCATTTCTACTTCGTCCATATTGCGTTGTTCTAAATAATACATTTGTCCTACTATTGACTTTTTTTCAGTTTACAGACACAAATGTACGATTGCCTATCGTTAGATGTGGGATTTTTTGCTTTTTCTAGCATCGTATAGTGGTTAATTACGGGAAGTATCCCGGTACTTTTTATCGGCTTGTCCGGGTACAAAAATATTGTTCAGCGAGACAACTACGTGCCGGCAGTCGAAAAACTTCGTACCAACATAATACTAAGCGGATGCTATCGTTCGTAACTTTTCGCGAGCAAAAAGCAAGCAGACATATCAACCGGAGAAATGAGAGGAAAACTTTTTTGTCGCTACATATACGTTTCTATGAGTATTCGACCACAAGCCGTAAAATCAACTTGAATGAAGTTTTAATTGAAGTATATAATCATTAAAATAAAAAGCTTTAATAGACTAATTAACGTTTTTACATGTTCCATGCAAAGCCAATTGGATCGTGATTATGTGTGACCTATTTACACTAATTACTTTTTACTAAACGAACTCTTTTTAAGATTAATTTGGAGAAAAATCAAATTTCATTTATGCTTATTGACAAAAGCGAATTTTGATTGTAAAAAGTAGATTTTTAGACGCGTTCGCTTCCTATTGGAAAGAGGAGGGAAATTTTGGCAAAACAGTATTATTCTGAGAATGCGCAAACACATCATGGAGATGAGTAAACAACTCTCGGCACATGAAATGAAATCGTCCACTTTTAGAGCAACATTTTTCCCATTTATCGTATTGGTTTATCGTTTAAATTATAACTAAATCTTAACACAAAATTTCTATCAACCTTTATCAATCATAAAACATTGAATAAATACATATTTAAAGAAAGAAATAATGTCGTTGAGATCATTGGCTCTTACAAATTAGGTTAAAGTGATTTAATAGGAATTAAAATAAAGCGCAGAGTTGTCAGGCAGAAAATTGGAAATGGGGAGACAATTATATACGTACGTATTTTATATTTCATTGGTTTTTATGTTCTAACTGAAAACGAAAAGTTGTAATTATTAATCAAAACAATGCACCGTTATGTTTCAATATTTTGAAAATTACACGTCAATTACGATGCACGAAAATTTATTAAATTTTGATTTTTATTTAAAATTTCATCGCGCTTCTAAATTTGACACGAAAAATGCGTGGAGAACTAATTTTATTTAAAAAACTTTTCCAAACTATCAGTAATTAATCTTATTTATTCTTTAACTCTGCCTTAATATCACTGAGAGAAAGAATTTTGTTAATTTAACAAATTATCAATACCTTGAACAAATGATCTGTAAACATGTGACAACAAATTGGTTTGTTGTGATTGCTGTTAATTTGCTATATCAACAAATTATTAGTAATAGAAGCAAACTATATAGAATCTAACCTATCTTTGGATAATAAACTAGGATCGTTTACATAGTCATAATTGATAATGAAGTCTTAAGTTAAAGGAAACTGACCAATCAAATAGGAGCAGTCAAATAGGAAGAATACTTGAATAGATTAGTCAATTTCTTATGATGGAGACTTTACGGCTTCTATATGTATGAGCTTTTTATTTGTTAGCGATACTATTGATTATTTATTACATTGACAAATGAGAAATAAGTAGGAGTGCGGATACCCGAAAAATTCGGATACCCAAACCTCGAATCGGATTGCGTAATGATCGGGTCGGCTCGGGCGGGTCTCGAATGTTCGGGTACCTGAATGTCAGGATAAAATATTTGATTTGAAATCCGAAACTATAATTCGAGACTCTATTCGGAAATTCAGGACTCGATATTCGAGTCGAGACAAAATTTTCCTGACTGATCTTAAATTTTTAAATTTGGAAGCGTTTCGTATGTGTCGTGTAATTAAATATAAAATCGCGTAGTTAAATAAGTTAAAAGTAGTTAAATAAGAAAAAAGCTATGTATGAATAATTGCTTTATTTTAAATTATAGTGTAGAAAGCATAATTTTTCGTTGTTGATATTAATTTACTTAGTGACTATAATAATGTTATTACCAGCATCAGAAAACAATCTTTCGCTTGAAATTTGAGAAACAGCGAAATACTGTCTAGCGAGATACTGCTACTAATATCGAGATTCCGAAATAATAGCGAATACCCGAAAATACTGATAATAAAATATCCGAGCCTCGATTGAGAATCGGATCGAGTAGTAATCGGGTCCCGAATGTTCGACCCGACTCGTATTTCCAAGTATCCGCACACCCCTAGAAATAATTAATTTGCAATTATAATTAATCGATCGTTTTCTTAACAAATATCACATTTGTTTCCCTTTGATTTGTTCCTAAAACAAAATCATTTTTCTCAGTGAAGAAAAAATAATTTTATCAAAGTTTTCTTATGTATAGATTATATTGCCGCTCCAAACTTTCTTA